ATTATTTTTCTTTTTTTATTTCAAAATGTTTATGTCAACTTCTCTGTACACTAAATTACATGTTCTTCTGATGTTTTCCAGTGGAAAATGCGGTTTACAGGTGTTGTCGGCCTTTTTTTCATTTTTGATTTTGTATTTTTTATTTTTTTTTTATAAAATATTAAAATAATTATGAACAAAATTATTCTGTTACAATATTACATACAACTGTACATGTTTAAAAAATTATCATATCAAAGGAATAACAAGGTACAAAATGTTTTTAAAGGATTCCACTTTTTCTAAATGGCATGTACGCATATAAATATTAATACGAATTGCTATATATGTACCTTGTTATCATTTAAAATATTAAAATTTTAAAATATACTATGAATGCATATATGTAGATATTCTGTAAATCGAGCGTATATATTTATTTGGCGCCATTTCAGAAAGGAAGTCCTTTTTGATCTTTTCATAATCTTATGTTTTAAAATGTAAATTAACTAAATAAATGTACTTGAAAAACAAAACATCGTTTAACACATTCCATAGTGTACTAAAATAATGAAAACATGGAAAAATATTAAAAGAAAAAAAATAATATGCTCCTTAAATCTCTTTCCTCTTTTCATGATTTCAAAGGAAATTCTTTAATATTTTAGGGATAATTATACTTAAATGCTTTTTTAATAATTATCCATAAATTTAAGGATAATTTATTTTATGGCGCCAATATTGTTTTGAGGATTACGTTAATTATAAGCTCATAAATCAAAAAATAAAATGATTATAATTTGGAAATTATTTAATATAAAAATTTCATATAACTTAAAACAAAAATTGCGGCAAGGAACTGAAAATTCTGAAATAACACATTTTAACAAACATATATACAGTATGGATTTGGTGCAATACTTTACTCGTATATGAAGAATTATAATACAAGTTTTAATAATATTAAGAAAGAACAAAAAACATAAAAGACATTTGGTTGTTTGCCGAAAGGATTAGTGTGGGAGTGCAAAAATGATTGCATTTTTTTATTTCGTACTGCCTCTTTTCAATTATACTGCAGTTGGTCCTTCTCATAAGAAATATAGATCAAAAAATTTTCGGAAGAAAAAATAATTTTTTAAATATTTTGAGGGACAATATGCACAAGAGGGTTTACCTATCAATTATTATTTACTTATTAATTTATTGGGGACACTGACACGCGTTTTGTCATATTATGGTATGTAATAAGGAAAAAAGTTGTATGATTGATGAAAGAAATGATTTCGTTATTTTGAAAATATTTCGTGTTTAAACTGAAAATTATACCAATTTTATTCGACACTCTTAGATTTTAAAGTTTATAATGAGCTTGGAATAAAAAACATGTATATTAAAACTAAAATATCTTATATTAATAAAAATTAGTTTTTAACATTGAAAAATAAAAATTTAATTTTTTTATAGAACAATTTAAGAAATTAATTAAAAAAAACTTTAGAAAACCAATTTCCTACAATGTTTTCCAAGAATTTTGACCATGGTACAAAAATATTCATTCAATGAATTTATTTAATATTATTGAAATATTTGAAATAATCATTGCGTTTACAGCTACATACATACATACTTTTAATAAAAATAAAAGAAGAAAAAAATTCATACAGTTTTAATTATTTCATTAAAATTGAAATGTCAATTTAATAAAGAATTTTAATTATTAAAATATTTCCAAATCTCATTATAATTCTATTTTTTCTTTTAGAGAATAATAATTTTCACAAAATTTATATTTCAATTTTTTTTAATATTGAAATTCATTTATAAAATAATTTTTTTATATAGTTATATAAATAGCATTCAAAAAAAAAATTATTTTTTTTTTTTTCATTTTTTTCTTTCAATTTCATTTTAAATAATTTCCTTTTAATAAAACTTCTGAAAATGACATCAATCTTAAATAATTAAATTCATAATAAATATCTCATTATTTAAAAAATTCACTTATAATTTGAAAATTTTTGGCCACAATGACAGTGCATTGGCCATATTGTATATTTTTCTTTCTTAATTCTATATTATGAAATATATTAATTATATGTGAATGTATGTACATATGTATATATTATGCGCCTTCTTTTTCAGAAATAAAAATTTCATTTTTACTAGACAGACATTTTAAAAATTTAATTATAAATTAGTCAATTAAACTTTTAAAATTAGATCATTAACGAAGAACAAAATATTTTTTTGTAAATTATTTATTTATGTATTTTAATTTTTTTTTTCTTCTTGGCTTCATTACCCTTACCAACTTTATAAAAAAAAAAATATATATAAATTAGAATTGCTTTGGAAAAAATTATTACAATATTCTAATTTTCCATTCACAACATATTGGGCCTAATGAATAAAAAATAGTATAACTGCTTTTATTAGGGGAATATCAAGTAAATATTAAAAAAAAAGTAAGTAAAGACTCAATATTAAGTGTTTACTTTGCAAGTGCAGTAAATAATAATATTGATGCAATTTTTAGTGTATTTACCTTAAATGATGTGATTAAAATACGGGTAATACCTTCCATTTTCGGAAAAAACTTCGAAATTGTGAAGGTAGGTATGTGGTTCAATTCATTAACATGGCTGCTTTTACGTAAATGCCTGAACCTAAGTATTCCCAAGGAAAGAGAAATTTCAGTACCGATAAATCGAAAAATCAAATAATGTTTTCATTTACCAATATTTTTTTTTTCGAGATGCTATGTTTTTTTTCCAGAAAGTAGTAAAACCAGAGAAGGATCACTTACTCAAAAAAAAAAAATGGAAATATAATCCAGTTCTAATGAAGGAATCTTGGAGTAAATCAGAATTTTTTGTTGTAACTTAAAACTTAAAAAAATTTTTTCCCAAACGTTTGACTTTGATTTGAGTTTGTTTTATTACCATTAACGTGTTTTTTTAACAATTTCTTTTATTCTAGAGTTTTTTGTGTTGTAAATTATTTGAAAACATTTACCACATTACTCCAAAGCTCATTTCTTAAAACAAAAGAAACTAATATTAATAAAAAAAACATAACAACCTATCAACTCCATTCTCAGTATTGTGTTCACTCATTGCATACCTACAGGATAAAAAAAATTAATGAAAACGTGAATTTACATAACGATCGAAATAAGAGGCTAGATGAGTTCAAATTGTATGGTTTAGTAAAATCGTTAGCAAAAAATGTACTCAGATAGAAATAACATGTACAGATAACAAATTTTCCTAACCTAATTAAAAATTTAATTTCATAATTCCATTGTTCCGATTAACACTATGAAAACCGCAAAGTTGACCATTACAACTGCTTTTTTATTTTGGCTTTTGAAGTTTTTATATTCCCTTATTTCATTTTATTTATTTTCTTTTTAAGAAAATTAATTTAAATATGATTGGTAATAATAAAAATTTTATTGTTAGTCTTTATTTATTTTTGTTTTTCTATTTCATTTTAATATTATAAAATGAATTTTCTCATATAAAACAAATGCAAAACAAATGAAATAAATTTGGAAACCACGCCTATCAGTTGTAGAAAATTAAATGAAAAAGATATTATAAAAGTAATGGAATTATAAAGCAACAAAAATGCAAATAAATATAAAATATAAAAATAAAAATTTATTTTTAACAGTTCATTTTTATAACCCCGCCTCACTGATCAGCAAATAAAGAGAAGATAACGAAAAATTCTCTTTGAATTTGCTTCATTTCTTTTTATATATTTTGAATTATTGTATGAAACTACTATCCTTAAAGTGAATGGCGGAAAAAATACCAAATGAATTAAGGCTTATTAAGATAATTGTATTTAAACATGCAGACATACTTAACAAATGAATAATTAGTAGAAAATTGTTATACAAAAATCATTTTACAGAAACATGCATTCGATGAGTATTTTTTCTCTTAAAGTCAATTATTGTTCGGTTTTTTAATCTCTTTTTTAACCGGAACTTAACATTAGATTATGGTAGAGATTTATCATTTGGGTTTTTTAACTTAATATAGAAATTTAAAAGGTACTCAAAAATTTAGCTAAACCAAATCTAATTCAGAATTTTTCCTATAATACTTACATTTTTCAATCAGAATTTAGTCATTTTGCAATTAATAATTTTCAAATATGAATATTTTAACTCGTATTGAAAACTTTATTAAAACTTGTATTGAAAAATATATATATATAAATATATTTTCCATTACAAGTACAAAAAAAAACAATAGAAATTTTTAATTTAATTTTTGTTTATTTAGATGAAATGGACCTAATTTCTTAAGAAAAATTTTAAATTGTCGATTCAAACAATACAAACAAGAGAGATAGAGATCCCAAAGAGATGACGATCTTCAAAAGAGAATTAAATTATGAAAATAATACAAATTTTTCTCACATTTAAGAACATCAACATATGGTGCTAAATATTTTTTTTTTTTTTTGTAAAAGAAAATTCTATTGATTTAAATTTTTGTTTTCCACAAAAATTTAAAGAAAATTTTGACACAGAACAGAATGGTACATTATTCCGATATAAATCGCTAAAATTAAGATCTTATAAAGAACGAGTCCTTTTAAAACGGAAAATTTTCACTATTTTTAATATACCGGTACGGATTTTCTCTTATCTTAATCTATTTTAGACGTGATAATTTTAGATTTAATTTATTTGCATAATACAAAAAGGTAATTTTAATATGAATTCAACTATCAATAAAAAATCAATTTCAAATAGTTTTTCAATTGAAAATATTTTATCAAAACCATCGATTAACAATGAAAATTTCTGTAACAGTGATAACAATAATAGTGAAATAATAAACAATATTAATAATATTAATTATAATAATGGCATAAGAATTTATGAAGAAAAAATTGATCATTACGAAAATCCTGAATTAAAATTAAATAATGAAAATAATAGTAATTGTTACTTAAGTGATGACACATTAAAAGAAAATAATACTAGTGATGAAATATACAAATATGATAAAAATGATAGAAATTTAAACACTTTTGAAAATCACAATGCTGACAATATTAGTAGGAATATAAATTTTATCGATGATCCAAATGATGGATGCAGTGAAGCGGCTTCAGAAGAGAGTAACAGTAGGTTTTCATTATAAATACTAAAATAAAAAAAATATACTATAAATTAATTTTAACATTTTTTAAATTTTAGCATGTTTGATACTGTGGAATATTTATGATTAAGATAATTATTTTAGAATGTTTTTATTTTAAATGATATTTTTCGCTAATAAACGCTCATACAATGAGTGGCATTCCATATTTTATAATATTTACCTGTTTATTTACTATTATTTACACAATCATTGTGTTTATGCGAGGTTTTGGCAAGGTTATTCGATTGGGATAAATAAAAACTTATAGTGGATTTGGGTAAAGGTACAATGTAAATTCAAAGTACAATGCTAATTTTTTTTTCTCTTTTTGAAAACAAATTTCATGCAAATGTACTAAAAATTTTTGCGATAAATAACATTTTTAAACGAAAAAGCTAAGGCTAGACACATACTTCCAATTAAAAATTGAACCTGGACGAAGCTTTCCGTTTTTTAATTTAAAGCCATTATACTATCTCATTTAAAATCATTTTGATTTTTGCATATCAATTTACAATTGTAAATTTGCAAATGTTAAACGAATATTTTCCGCTTTAAAATGATTTTGGAGCCAAAATTTTATCGTAAAATTAACAAAATAAATTTTTGTTTTTGTACTATAATGGAATTATTCAAAGTTAATCAGAAAATAAGTGAGTAACATTGTTACAATAGAGTAACAATATGTTACTAAAGAGAAGTAGACTCATACTAACTATCACCAAAATATGACGGGAAAACGAAATTATTAATAAGTTTCATAAAGTGATTGAATTCACAATAACACTTGTTAGATTTTACTAAATAATTTAGTACCTCACTAATTGTGATATGGATTACGCAAAATTCAAGAGAAGATTGAGCACTCCACGATAATAAGTAACACTTCGCATCTTAATGAATAAATTAAGACTTAAGTTAATACTTTAAAGATTAATATCAAAAGAGAGCCTCATATAAAAGTTCATATCGCATATCGTTCTAACATCGAAAAAATATTAGCAAAAGTTTAAATTTAAAAATCTCGAAACTTAAATTTTTGTAATGTGTGAGGTATTTGTTCTATATGTGCGAATATCTCCTTCAAAAAATAAATTAAGCAAAAAATTAACCTTACCGTGATATCCCTACATAATTTAAAAAGTAAATTAACCTCGACATATTAGTGTGTTTGTTTTTGAAAATTTTCATTAATTTCGGAAAAAGATTTTAAAAGAAGAGGAGAATTGTTTTTTTATTTCTTTTGGACACGTTAAAAACATTTGTTTTGTATTAATTTGACACTAATTGCTTCAATCATCATTAAACCAAATTATTTATGTATTAATATAATATGAATAAAATATAATTTTCTACATTATATATTATTATATTTATATAAACTAAACGTAATCATTGATCGCGTACTTGTGTATGAAATTTTATGTGATCTTTAATTCATGATAAAAATAAAGAAAATATTTTGTTTTTATTTTCTTTTTTCTAAATTACATCAACTTGTTCAAATCATCAACTGAAAACAAAGTGTGTCAATCATTTTGAACCAAAATATTTCTTAAATATGTTTTTAAACATAAAATAAAAGAAGAAAAAACGCAAACAAATTATCTAAATTAAAACATGTTAATTGCTTTAGAAACAATAGCAATTTTTTTTAAGTTTCTACAACGAAACCGCAATGATAAAACATTTTACTATTTTGTTAAACGTATGTTATTTCATTAAATGTTGGACTATTATAAAGAAATTGTTGAATTAACAAGTAACTAGATTTTAAAAAATGTTGTAAATTTTGTAAATTTCTTTGGTATATAATTAGAATGTGCAAATTTTTGTAGTTAAAAAATACAGAATGTTTTGTAACATAAGGCATTTAGAAAATTTTAAATAATTAAAGAAAAATTAGAAAATTTAGATGACAGGAATCCGACGCCACTTCACTTTACTTTTTGAAAATATTAAAAATTTTAGAAAAGCAAAAGTATTTTTGTGATAAATAAATAAGAAAAAATCAATTTTGAAACTAGGAATCAGAATTTCTAGAAGGTATACCCGATGGACTGCAATAATAAAAATTTATTAATTTAATTGCGTTTAAAGCTCAGAGTTGCCATTATCAAGAATTGTTTGTTACCATTTCCAAGGGCAATCCATCTCACCAAATCAACGAAAATGGAACCAAAGTAAAAGCTGTAAATTTACGATTTGTTAGCCTCGATATTTTGTTATCATGTTTAGACCCGAACGGACTGTATAAAAAATTAATAGTGTGTGACTACTATCTACAACTGTTAATATCATCCATTTCTACGAGCATGTATCTTTTTTTTTTTTTGAAAACATTCATTTTTGAAATGTAAGGATTTTGAAAAGTAAAAATATTTACTAAATTTATTTAATTCCCCAAACCTTTTTGTATGGGATGGTTATTCACTATATTGAAGAATAGATAGGTTATAAATTGCATCTTGCCCATTTAATCATCTTTTTGTTAAAGTTATTGTTGATAATATTGTTCACAGATCTTGTATGACTGACACAGATAAAAGTTATAGTTACATTAGAAGTTTTGTTTAAATAACTTACAGAATTTTTACATATTGCATAATTTTAACAGAATTTATTAGGGAACAAGAATAATTTTTGAATTAAATTTGAATTCTTTTATATTAACTTACAATTTAATAATACAAAATAAATTATTAATAAAAAATAAAAAATAAGATTACCTCAAAATAAAATGACTTTGTAAATTTCATTAGAGTTTCTCTCAGAATTTCTCACTAAATTTGTATACCGCAATGCAAAGATACTAATTTCCTGTTCTATTATCATTCTATTCAAGAAAATTAAAAAAAAATATATGAGAAGCAAAAATAAATTTAAATATTTTTTTTTTTTAGAACAAAACTACATAAAATTTTACTATGCAAATTTGCTTTTAATTAATTGACAATACTAAAATATTTTAAAATTAATTCGAAACTATCGTCAACAATTAGTCAAATTAAAACAAGAATTTATTTTAAATTAAAAAAAATAATTTATTAGAAATTGTTTGTTTTTTGTTTCACTTTTTTTTTTAATATTATTTATGTACCTTTTTACGAATTTATTCTGAAAATAATGTTTAAATCGTTCATCCATAAAATTCACTCTATTCAAAAACCATCAATTTTGCAATTAATTGACGACTAAAGAAAAATTATTATTTTTTTAAGAAAAGAAAAATACAATAAAAAGAAAAAAAAAAGTTTGAGTTATTTTTTTGTTATTTTGTATAAAAAATATTTGAAAATTTAATTTTTACTTTTAAAATCGTGAATAATAGTAAAGCATAGTACGTGGGAAGATTTACGCTCATATAGTTGTGTTCGATGATTTTACATAATTATTTGGCGTCCATAGCACAATACTCTTCTTTTATTTAAATGTATAGTTTGTAACATGCACAGATTTAGTAACCCATATATATATAAATTTTAAATGAATACAATTTTATTGTAACTTAACCAATTTTTTAAATAATTGTTGCATTCAGCAGTAAATAACAATTTTTTGATAACAAACTGGACTTTCATATCAGACATATTTTGTATCATATTTTGTATCATATATTAATAAGTATTATTAATAATGGATATTTTTAATATTAAATTATTGAAAATTTTTGATATTGGATTTATTACTTTTCATAAATATTGAAAAATTAATTGTATTAAATACAATTTTTATATATTATACAATTACGATTTTATTATAAATTTCGAATTTGTAACACTATTCAATATTTCAATAGAGTTTGTCACTATAATGTTTGTAAATTAATTACCAATTGAAAATAAACATTTAAAATAATATTGCGAATTAATTAATATTAATTTTATATATATTTTTTAAAATAATATACATAGCTACATACAATAAAAATTATTTTTTGGAAATCCTCCAATTTTGTTGAAAATTTTTACAATTTGTTAAATGTTCTTTTTAGCAATACAAAGAGTAAGAAAATAGTTAAGAAATTTTCAGTTTAATATTTTATGATTACTCTACGCCATTTGCAAAATTGCATATTTTTAAACAAAATTTATATATATGGCGCACGAAACTTATTTCTATTTCTATTAAAAACTCCTCCTTAAAATTGAAATAAAAAACAAAATATTTATATTTTGCGATTTTTGTTGTAATATTAAAGCATATGCATGAAAACATGTTTTAAATGTTTTTTATAATGGTATATAATAATAAAAAATAAGTATAAAAAAAGTTATACGAGCGTGTATGTTCGTTCTATAAGAGATTTTCCATCTGAATTATAGAATTTGTGTTGCAATTACTTTTTAATTATTCCCAATTTTTTTAGTTTAATTTACGACATAAGAGATTCCAAAGCTAAAGACGTACACTTATTAATTTAATTAAATACACAATAGATATTTTCGTTAGCTGCTGTTTTATTCATTTAATTTGCTACTTAAGCATTACGAAAATTGATTGGTAAAGAAAATCGATTTTAATATCAGAATTAATTTTATAAATTAATCGCTGATGAAACACTGATTTCATAAATTCTATCAAATGCATGAATTTCGAAAATACATTTTATTTGTTTTAATTATTTTACTTAAATCGATCGCAAATTTTAGGAGAATCAAATAAAGTAAGCTAAATTAATTTATTATCAAATTATATATATATTTGTTTGAACATATATATATATATATATATATATATAGTAACTTTTTCTAAGAACACTGTATATATCTTAATCATATTCAACTATATTTGCATAACGTACATATACATACATATCTATATAGGTATATTAACCTATTGAAACATTTCTAAGAAATCTATTAAGCTCCGAAATCTTCCTTTAAAACAATGTATCAACATAAAAATGTTCAATACACAATAGTCATTTTTATTTTCAAACTTCAATGCTTTCAAATATTTTTTGGTGAAAATATTCTCAAAATAAAAATATTTAGAAAATTTCCATGGTAAATAAAACTTAAAGATCATTAATAATTTTTAGTCACTTGAAAGAGATTATTCGATGACAATAATATTGGCATTTTGACTCTTCAAAGGCGTAAAAAATTAATTGACAATATACAAAAATAAATCAATAAAACAATTTTAAAAAATAATAAAATTAAAAGAATTTTTTTTTAGTATTTAAATTATGCATACCAATATACACATTAATGTAAACAAAAGACGAATATACTTTTTGCTTAACTTTCTGAACAAAATTCAGGAAAAAAATAAAATAACTTGACATAAAAAATTATTTCAATTCAGATATTTTCAAATTTTCACTAATTATACAACTAAAATTTACAAAACAATTAGGAAACAATTAGTGGAAAATGCTCTCTAAATGAAAAAAATAAATTATTAAAAAAAAAAAGATAGAAATTAAAAATTTCAATATTCTAAAAACTCAAAACATAATTTTAAGAGACGGAAAAACTTTTGAAGTTTTTTGAATTAATATTTTGAGTTTTTAAAACGATGTTAAATAAATTTAAAACACATATATACTTCAAATTTATAATATATATCTATGTGTGTATTTATGTGGGGATTATAATTAATGATCCTCAACCAAGAATAAAAGTTAATAAATTAACGCTGTTGTTTGTCTATTTTTTATTGCATAGTCTTTTCCAATGCGTTTTTTCTTTCAATTTACACTAATCAATAAAAAAATTAAGAAAAATTCATTGAAAGAAAAACAGAAAAAATGTTTTGAGCACAGTTTTTAAAAATCTTCTCGAAAACATTAAAAAGAACACAATAACATAATTTTTAAGCTCAATAATAAAAGAAATATTATAATAATTTTTTTATATTTGATATCTATATAGTTGAATTTTTTACCATTTCAACTAGATTTTAAAAATATGTTTACTTGTCTAAAATCCAATGAATGCATAATTTCCCGAAAAACAAATGCTTATTTGTAAGAGCTAAAGAATTATTTAATTTTTAATTTATTGGGTCTGAAATGTTAAAATTTTTGTTGTAATAAGCGAACTCTATCTTAATAAATTTCATAGAATAAAAAATTCAAATATTTTCCTTCTGGATAACGAATAATTAAATCGAATTAAACAAAGCCTTATTAAAATACAGTTTCCATCAAGCTCTATATAAAAAATATTTTTTTATATAAAAAAGAAATATTAATTCGAATTGATGTAATCGGCATAATATTCGATGCAAAAATACAATAAGAAATAACAATCAGAATAATTTTATACTATAGATTCTAATTAGAATTTAGCGCATACTTTGCTCAGTTTATAATTAGAACACATTTTCATTGTTTTTTTTTTTCGTTCAAAAGTATGATTTTTTCAGGAAAATATGAAGGTAATTTTTTATAATTAAGTGAACTACCTAACAAAAAAATTTAAAACAAATTATTGGCTATAACAGATTTCGAAATTTCCACGAAAGTTTTTTTTTTTTAATAAACTTAACGTTGATTTTTAATCCATTTTGAAGAACATGATATCTTTTTAATTGACATTATAAAAAATGAATGATTTGAACATTAAAAAGGTGTGCTTATAATTTTTTTTTTATATACAATATGTAGATGAAATAAATATTAAGAAACGAAAGTATAATAGGAAACTTGTAGGTGGAATAACATAATTTTTTCCTGCAAAATTGTGTTTATCTCATTATTTTAAAATGAAAAATTAATCAGAATTTATAAATCCCAAATTTTAGAATTTATAATTTCAAATGAAATAGAGGAAAAAGAAAACGAAATTATAATTTTTATATAATGTATAAGTTTAATTATGAATCATTTGATTATTAAAAATTATAAAACAACAAATTTCGTTATTGTGACACACTTTAAATTTATGAATTTTAAAAATGAAAATTTATTTAACATTTTTTTTTTAATTTTATCTTTCGCTATTTATGAAAATTAATTTAATCCAAAAAAAAAATTTTTTTTTAAAAATAGCTTATTAAAAGTTGTTAAATTAATTTGTACATGTATGTATGTATTAAGATCTATATTAATATATGTATATATACATACGAATGTACATTCGTAATAATACTCCGTTCCATACTTAAGATTACAAAAAATTATTTTTATCAGCCGTGGCTCCATATAATATTGTGAATTGTGATATGGAGAATCGAATTTTAAAACTCTTAACAGTTTATTTTATATATCTAATTATAATAATTAGAAAAATTTGAGCTTTTTCTTAACTGGTTTTATAAATTTTTTATAATACGAGTGTGTGTAGATAAATTAAGGAATTAGACATAAAATATGTACATTATGTATTTTACTCTCTATTTATCCAAATTTTCAGAGACAGGCTTAAATTTTGGATAATAGTCTTTTCATTTATAATTATAAAATTTTTTATTATTAAAAAAATTTTCTAATATTTTATTTACAGACACTGGTGATGACAGGAAAAAGCGTCCTCGAACAGCATTTTCAGCATCTCAAATAAAAGCGTTAGAATCTGAATTTGAAAGAGGAAAATACCTTTCAGTTGCAAAACGAACAGCTTTAGCGAAACAATTACATTTAACTGAAACTCAGGTACCATAGCTTTCCATAATAATTCTAGCATAAATAAAGTATCACAAATCTATGTCTTTTTAACAAAAAAGTTAATTGACAAAAAATTTTTCCACATATAGATTAAAATTTGGTTCCAAAACCGACGTACAAAATGGAAACGTAAGTACACAGCTGATGTAGAAACTTTAGCATCACATTACTACGCCCAATTAGGAATTGGAGGCTTAGCAAGACCAATGGTTGTTGGAGATCGATTATGGTTATTTAGTCAAACACCATCTGGTCCAGCACCAATTCAATCAATAATGTTGAATAGCTCATCTAATATGCCACCGATACGAACATATCCGACAGTACCCACATCTCATCATTTAGCAAATAGTTACTCAAGCGTTATAGAAAATGCTCGAAATTCATTATTATCACGTGGTCAATCTTTAAATTTTGGAATTCCACTTTCACAAACAGCACCGCTTCCAAGTTCATCGTCGTCCGCAACACCATTTGTTGGATCACTTAATAATCCAAAAGGTCCAACATCTCTCACAAATTCATCATATATTCAGCAGTTATCTCCAATTGTCAACAAGATACCATCAGGTGTTCTGCCTAATATTGATAGTAATTTTAATTTTTCAAAAATCAATCCGTATAACTACAGAAATAATTTTGAAAGCGAGGAAAACGAAGCATATTTACGAATGAAATATGGGGCAACAAATAACTTTTCTAGTTCATCAAGTGACACAGAAAAATCTAATGGCTTAGCTGAACTAGAAAGGGTTTTTGGAGACTCTAGCGCTAATTTTCTAGAACATCATTTAGGAAAAAAAGCAAACAATGAGCGTTCATCACCATCTAGTGCAGACTTTAAAAATAATGAGCTTGAGTCAGACAGTGATGTTGATTGCGAACAAATTGATGAAGACGAACTATAATTAATTGAGATTAACAAAAAATCATTTCTATAGATAAATAATTATTTTTACATTTTTACAAATATATAAATATGTAAATTTGTGTGAATGTGAATATAAATAGGAAAATAAATAAATAAATAATAGTTAAACTTTATAACCAGTTAGTTTAAGCTTTCTTGTCAAACTAGGTTATTATATATTGTTAATTATTTCTAACAAAGTATGTGAATAAAAACGTAAAAAAATTATATTTCTTGATTTCTCATATATAAAAAACCCAGTCTTATTCTTGTGGACAAATATTTGGTTAGATTAGTCATCAGTACACCAAATTTATTAAAAAAAGGTACTCTTAATCAAACAAACAGCTTATAAAACAGCACATTTCCATTTAAAAATCTAACTTAACATTAAATGATATTATTTTTTAGAAATAAGAGACATAATTATCAAAAATACCCAGTTTTTTTGATTTTTAACTGATATTATTAATAATATTTCTCTTTTCACATTTGTAATAAATCTACGAGCAGGATAAATCAAAAATTAAAAAAAAAAATAAAAGTGAACCCAAAGAATAAAAGTGAACCCAAAGAATTTTTTCATTTATTAACTTCCATTGACAAACCGATCCCACCTGTCTGCGTAAAATAACGAATTTTTTGAAAAATAAGAAATAGAAATGATTTTTTTAGATTTGCTCAACTACAAAAATTGTGCTCTCAAACTGTAGAAGTGTAGAAGTTTTCTGAACGGAAAGATAGACAAAGAGAAGATAATAACCATATTTTTGTCAAATTTGAAAGTGTACTAAAAAAATTTTTTTATTACGCAAAAAAATCTCATTAATAAAAGCTTACCAAAACATACTACATAGAACATATTTGGAAGTTGTTTTATTATGTAATATTGATAACGAAGCGTAATACGTATTTACGTATGAAAAAATAAAACAATAAATCAAACGTTTGCGACTAAGCACACTTCGTTGAATTAAAGCAACTAAATTGCTTTGTATGCTCAACAATCAAAGAATTCACTACATTTGTTCAATTCGTTTTGTAAACTCTCAGTACATGCATATATAAAAATTATAATACCACACACCTTTTCTCAAGTTTTTTAGTTTTATTAATAATCATCACAAATACTTATACATAATTATATCATTTAAAACATACATATTCTTTCTGGTTTTGCTGTATTACATTTTATTTAAATTTATAATTTTGGCTAATTATAAACGGAAATTAAAACCTATAAGTTACAAAAACAAATATGAATACTTTTCCTGTTAAATTCAACTGGTTTGTAATAATTCTGCATATTCAATATACATACGTTGCAATAATACAACTAATTAAATGTCAAATAAACAAAAAATTCTTATTTTAAACAAAATATTTATTAAAGCTCTAAAACAAAATTAAATACAATCTGTACAATCACACAGTAACATCAAATTGCTTACAAACTAAATAAAAAAAAAACTTACAACATTTACAATATTTTCGAATATAAATATTCAATATTAGCAATAAAATTAAAATTAAAATAAGTTTTTAAAATATTTGATCATTTTTCGAGATATTTTTTTTTCGGAATATATTTAGGATTAAAATTACGGTTAACTGAACTCGCTTTAATTGATTAGAATAAGAAAATTTGTTAGAGTAAAGCAAAATACAACATCAAGATCTTTTACGAAATTATTTAGTACTCAACTATTTTTATAATTTATGATTAAAATTATTAATAGCTAATTTCGATTATATTTACTTCATACACAGTTTTCTTTGCTTTATCAATCTTATATTGAGCACTACTTTATAATAACATTGTTTACCTTAATGTTAAAGCATTTGATTAATTTTTGTTTTAAATTTTTCTTTTCCTTATCGGTTATTTTCCAAGTTTTTAAGTAAATTTACTTAATTTTAATAGTAGAAAAATATAAAATTAATTGTAATTTTATTGTAAATCTTCATATTGTTTGCTTTATGAAAATTGTTCACAAATTTTTATTTATTTTATTGTAATTTTTTGCTATAATGTTTTCATATATTAAAACTGCTAGGAATGTATTTTTCTTTTTCTTAAAAACAAAAGTGGATCTAAATGTTTCGTCAAAAATGCATTTAAAAAGCAATAGATATTATTAAAATTAAATTAATTTGACTTAGAGAGCAATTTATTTTTTCGTTGAATTGTTTATTTCTACAACGTACCATAACAAAATATAACGAAATTTTTTTTAAATATCGTAAATCTCATATATATAAATTAATCTGTAAAGTAGGAATTCATTTCAATGAATTATTAGGAAATAGCGTTTGTTTACATTATTTACTTAGTATTTTCAATGGTAATCACAGAATTAAATATTAACAGGCTTAATGTATCAACATTAATCAAATTAATCAATATTAAATCAAATTCAATACAAGCTTTTACGTAATTTTTGTTATTAAATTATCTACCTCACTAATTTCATTAAAAAATTTTCGTCAGTCAAAAAAGAAATTAGGATGAAAGAAATGTTACGCTATTAAAATGTTTATTAAAAATATCAGTAACTATGAACTTTAAAAAAACTTTATGTTTAATATAATATTTTGGAATGTATAATTGTAAAGCAATTGCAAAAGTTTTGAAATTACCAATTCTGCTTTTTCAGAAAATATTATATTGAACTATACATTTGAATTTACATAATATCAGTTTAATTAATGTTAATTATATCACCGCAAATCGAAAATACTTATATTTATTCTTATAAAACATTTAATTGAATAAAAAAAATTCATTGGTAAATGCATTTTTGACATGACTTTCTGTGTATTTTTTTCTTTAATGTTTGAAACTTTTTGTATTGGCAATTATTTCTTGGTGGTATATTTTCTTTTATTTAGTTCTTTTTAATAACTTAGCATAACTTATACTTAAATTAATTTTACAGTCATCTTGTATTTGTTTTAATTCTTCCCTATAATTCTAATTCTAATGTACAATAACTATTTAGCAATCCTTAAAATTGTTTTGTTCATCTTACAATCTAATTATAGTTTATTTTGAATATTGTTCTTTAATATTATATATTCTTGACTAAAATTTGTTCTCTGTACATAATTACATGTAACTTTGTTCTATTATTCAGAAAGTTTTTAAATGCTTCCTAAAATTATGTTAGCTCCATGATAAATCATACTTCTTCCAATTTGCTCCAGGTGCCAAAAAAACTCTTCTTTCATTATAAAATAAGGATATAATTCCGTGATAAGCTGTCCGTGGTACACCGCTCTACAATAGATTAATACAATGATTTTGTTTTGTATGATAACAATGAAAACAAATAACAATGAAACTCACTTTAAAATCATCCATTAAGCCCAAGAATTTTGCTGTTCTTTTGTATTGATCTTTGGTATTGTACTGAATTCTTACAGGACCTGTAACCGTAACTAATCCATTACGAAGTTCACCATATGTTACTATTGGGGTATTATAGACCATTTTAATATATTTATCATCATAAATGTCCTTGAAAATATAATTACATCTTAATTAACAGTATATTTAGTTTTTCTATTACTTACTTTTAAAAGATAACTCAAATTCATTTTAGTAAAATGAACATATTCATCAGAGAGTTTAATATATTTTAAATATTTATCAAAAAAGAGACCACTAAAATTGTTAAAACAAATTAATAAATTGTACAAAAGAATACTTACTATACACAATCTTATATAACAAGCATAATGCCGTTAAGTTTTTTCAATTACTTACTTAGACACTCCAACTTTTCCGAAAGTTCTTGTACGCGATATTTCCGGTCTAATACAAACTCTATCTTTTCGCTGTTCTGGATGCCGAATCCAATCATCCCAAAAACTTTTATAATCAAATAATAAAATATATTTAAACTGAAGTTCATAAAATATTTTCTTAAAATTTTAATTGCTTACGATTTAGGCCATTTAACAGATAATTCTCTCCATAGTTCTTTTGTCAGCATCCACCCTAGTCCTGGGAAAAAGTCAGTTCTATATAATAGTTCTGCGGCAGAACTATCAATATTGCCAAGTTTCCCATTATCATTCCAAGCTGACACACACCTTTTAAATATGCAAATATATCAAAAATATACCACTAATATGGATAAAATATTAAATTTATATTCTTAAACATACCACAGACTAGGATCTTTCTTTAATAGATTGTAAGTGCCTAAGAAATATTCGAAAAAGTCTGGTGCCACGTTTAAATCATCTTCGACAATAATCACATAATCAAAACCTTTCCCAAAAGTTGTATTTAAGGCCCAGCCGTAGTGCCTAGAAATTTTATAGTATCCCTTAAATTTTTTCTCTCGAGGTGGCACGTATATGTCAGATTGATCTGGTTGTTCAATTAAATTTACTTGATCTTTATAAGATAGAATTACTTCTTTTGTAGGTGGATCTCCACAATCCTAAAATAAAAATATTTAAAGATCAAGTATTGAAACCAATTTCAGCAATGTTTTAAACAGAAGCAAACCTGTGATACAATAATTGGAAACTGTTTTGCACTTGGACGATATTGTATTAGATTATCCAAACATTGACTAACTGAAACACGGTTGCAAGCTAAAACTAGCACTGGTATTATTGGCTCACCGTTTGGTAAATGAGTTTCAACTATTTCAGCAAGTTCAACTATGTTTTTAAAAGTAGTACTTTCAACATTTTCGGCTTGCGAAATTTGTTGTGCAATACTAATATTTTCTATTATACTAGTTTTATTTTCTTCCATTTCATTTTCATTATTAACTTGAATAGTATTATCAATTGAACGAGCACTCTTCTCTTCGATTTTTTCTTTCAACTTGTTGAGAAAAACTTGGAACGAGTTGTTTTCCTCCTCAACATATTCTTTAACACCAGTTTCAAGTTTAATTAATTTCTTTTGCAATTCTAAATTCGGAGGATGATTCCCTTTTAATATGAATATGTACGTAATTAAAACCCATGTCGCGGCGAAACATATAGTAATCATCAAAAACTTTCGTGATCGCATTTTATTTTTTTTTTGTTTCTATTCAATAAATTTAATAAATATACAAAGCTTTTAGCACAAAATTAGAAAACTAGATTTAAAATAATTATTAAAAAATGCTATTTCATTTGAAAAACTACAATGACTAATTTGAGAATATAACATATTTATTCGAGCACGGATTAAGTAAAAAAATTAACAACTAATGTGATGTGGAACTTAATTACATTACTGCGAAAAATGCAATAATAATTGAAATTTCAAATTTTGAAACTTTTACATTATGCAAAAATTTAATCTTTACTTTTTCTTAACTTCGTAAATAAAGCTTTGAAAATTTAATTGTCTATATTATATTCACTTAAAATAAATAAGTTAAATATCATACTGCTTCTAGATTAAAAACTTCGTACGGTTCACTTGGGTTATCAAATAAAATTTTTTTTTAAATGACACTTCTGACATTACGTAAACAACTGATATCAGGGATGGGAACGTGAATTTAAGGTGAGTCTACACCATTTACATCAAAGTGTTCATACCAGAGAAAATTGTATGAATTATATTTTCTGTCAAAATTGTAAAATTTATCAATATTACGCATGAGATTCTAGAAAAAAAATTTTGGATATGCAAATTTTTTTTTGCTTCAATTTGCGTTATTTTGATATTCTTATAATTTAAATTATTTATTAAAAACCCGAAAATAATTTGTTTAGTCGTATATTCCAGACAAATATGAGTGACATATTTAACAGTATACAAAAATATAAGTTTAATTTTAAAAAGAAAATGTGAAAGTATAAAAAAAGAACACGTGAGGCATATTTGCTCTACAATTACGTAAAATTTACGTAAAATTTTAAGAACTTGCTGCGAAAATTATAACCAAAATAAAAATTAGATGGTTGCTGTTCAAAACCTTCACAAATAATTAATTATCGCCATTTTATTTTTATATTTTATTTTAATAAAGTTGTCAGATAAAATATGACCTTCATTAGACTCAGATTAGATGTTAAATTTTGTCATTAACAGAACTAGTCCACCTGCTAATTATTATTGGATTTCCAACAACAGCAGTTAGACTATACAAAGAAATACTTAGTTCAGACTTTGGGAGGGGTATTTCTGCGCATTTATTCCGATAGATGGCTTCAGTTATTTTTTTAAATAACGCAGTAATTTAAATTTTATACACAAGTTGATGTTAGGGGAAACATTTTTTATGTATAACAAAATTTTTAGAAATTTTTCCCCTATGTTATAAATATTTTCCTCAATGTTATAAAATATTGCAAACAAAATGTTAGGCTGTCGAATTGACCTTTTCAAATTAACAGTTAAAAATTTGTATGTCAAAACAATTTTTAGATCATATTCGCAGTAGTTCCGTCCTGTAGATAGAAACAATAATTGTCAATAATAACCTACTTTTTTTACCAAAAAGAGATTTTTTGTTCTTCCTCTCCTCTCTAAGTTGGCAACTTAAAATTTGCAAAATGTCATTTTTCAACTACCTACTTCGACTTTGAGCTCAATAGCATTCATTCCATACAAGCAAAAATGTTACAGTACTAAACTGAACAAACCAACAAATATAAATTCAATGCTAATCAGTAAATATATTTGGAGATTATCGCCCTTGTTAAGAGTTCATCCAATTATTCAGAAACACAAAGATTCCTTCATTATCAAAATCCACTATAAAAAATTTTTATGAAAAATAATTGTAGAAATATATCAGTTATCAAAGAGTTGTTGCAGTTTCTTTGGGATGATATTTAAATTTCAATATGAAAATGTAAATTGTACTTGAATTTTTTAAAGTACTTGAATTTTCGAAAATTTTATAATTTAAAATATTATTAATAAACATATCTTATATTATGTTATTTTAATATTATAATATTTAATTATTATTATACTATACTATAAAATGGAATATTATTATAATATACTATGAAATGGAAAATGGAAGTATATTATAAGTATATACATTTTATTTGGTCCGCAAGTCGAAAGACTTAAGAATCCTTGATTAATGCTATTTTAATTATGTGCGTATTATAGAAAAAAAAATAAATTAGTTTCGCCTAAATTTATGAAAATCTATCGTCATTTTTAAAGAGTTATACAAATAAAGAGTAATATTTTACGTGTACATTCATCGTAAAAAATTGCAAGTTTTTTCAAATTTTACATTACTAACATAAAACCCTGGTCAATTGAACTATTGAACTCTATATTATTTTAATAAAACTTTAACGATTTTTACATTTCCACCAACAATATAAAACTTTTACAAAAAAAGTTACGTATACTATCATATAATAGCCATTCTATTTCAAGGATACTTTTATTTTGTAATTTTCGTTTGTAAATCAACTTAACGCAAGCATTATCAAGGAATATATTCATATATGTATATACTTTTATTTTAATAGTATAATTTTGGAAAATTGATCTCTTTTGTTAGATGTTTGACCTTCAGTTATAACATTTCAAATAATTTTTTATTGTGAAAATTAAAGTTGTTTAATGTTGATGGTTATGAATGCACGCAAAGAAATAAAATTGTATTTTTAAGTAAAATGAAATTTTTCATTAAATATTTTATCACGATTCCACAAGAAATTTTGAGCTGCATACAATATGAAAAATAAAAATTTATCTAAAAGTCAATTAATTATAGTAAATGGGAATATTCATGTTTCTGGATAAGTTATTTTTTTAAAGAAATATCTAATAGTCTTACAATAAATTCAAATCGTCTTTAACATACTATTAAATCGTCAGATTTTTTCTCAGGAATTTATTTATATAGTTAATTATTTCATTATATTTTTCAATATTTTTTTTTAACTAGTAAAATTTGCAAGCTTTAACGGAAACGAGTTTGTTACTGAAAATTATAAAAGTCTTACATCGCCTTTAAATATAAAAATAAAATCTGAATTATTTTTAGCGAAAAATATTTTGCATTAAGATTTGGTATAATGAAAGGCACTGAAAAAGCAAAAATAGTATTTATTGAAAGCTTGGAAATTCAGTTAATATACTTGTAGTAAAAAATAAAATAATCTGTAAATTAAAAAAATATCAAATTCGAAATTATTATAGGCGTTAAAATGCAAATTCTTATTTATGAATATATATCTAATTTACGTAATCATTCATAATTCTTATAAATAATACAATAGCTTATAATCTCGAAAAAATTTTTTAATCTTAAATTGAACATCAAAGTTATAAAAAGCTAAAGTACTATTTTTCAATAAAATTTTAGAGAAAAAACAAAAATATTTGCTAAGTTTATTAAATTTATAAAACTTTTACGATTATACCTTCCAAATATGTACACTTATAATAAAAAACATTAATTCACTAAATATGACAATACACTATAAATGTGATAGTTAATCTATTAATAAATAAATTGGAAATTAGAGCGCAAATTCATTTAATGTACTACATATTTTATTTGCTTATATTTCATAAATAATATAAATATCGTGTCAAATTATTTTAATTCCAAAACAAAATCAATTTAATGTAATGGATACGTTTTAAGTAATTAATAAATAGATATTTCCAGGTCGAATACCTGATATACAAATTTATACATATTATATTATATTGTAAAGATAAGTTTAACAAATAAAGTATAAATTTTATTTTGTACACAACCAAACAAAATGGTAAGAACATAAATTAATAAGTCAAGTCAATTTGTTGAAATTTTAATTTTTCAACAGCTTACGCCTTAATATATGCAATTTTTTTCATACTTCACTATAAAAAAAACTTGCGTTTTTGCTTTTTTGAGTTTTTAAGTTTTATTACTAGCTATATTATTATTGGATATTCTTATACATAATAAAATTTTATCACAGACAGTGTTCTGGATAATTTTTCATGTTGTAAAGTAATTAAACATATTGTAATATGTTAAATTCTTTTACAAAACTATGCCATACATGTACACCTACGTTTTAGTCGTAAGAGCAAGATATTGCAATTCGATTGTAAATATTATTTAGGGGAAAGTTACTTAGCCAAATTTATAAGTTATAATAAAGGTAGACAATGAACTATTTCACATGAAATTACATTACATATAATAAAAAATTTCGTTTAAAATTCAAGGACAAATTTTAAAATTTATTTTTTATACCTTCATTATTGCCACGTCTTATAAATATTTTTTTATAAAAAGAAATTTATTCAAAATATTAATAAAAAAAATAACGTAGATAAAGTTAATTTATATATATATATATACATATATACATATATAATATATCAATATATTCGAAATAATATATAAATAAATAACTTTAAGTACAATATTTTAACCAAAGTATTCAATTTTTTTAATTGCAAATTTTTTTGTAAATATTTGTGTATGTGTACATATATTTCAACATAATAAATATTCTCTATATATGCATAAAACATTTATGTATGTACAAATATCTATATATAGTATACACGTTGATGCGTTTCTATACAATATATGCGATAGATTTAGATAAAGAGATAATAAAATAATTTAACCAGTACAAGGACATTATTACTTTTTTTTCGATTCTATTATTAACATTCCTTTAAAGGATAAAGTTTTCAATTTGCAAAATTATATTTTTAGTTGTTCCTTGAACACACTTGAAGTAAGTCAAGAAAATAAATTAAGAATGACTCGGCGTGTGAAGAAAATTGACTTAAAAACAAACGTTTACACAAATAAAAAGTAATGTAACAGTTAAAAGACAAAACAATTTTATTTTAAAGATTATTCGAAAACATTTATTTAAAGTATATAAAATAAAAATTTTGAAATAATTTCAACATAATATTTAAAACTCTTAAATTTTGTTTAAAAAATTTTCCCAACACTTTATATTTTAAACCTATAAAACTTTTGTAATTTTCCGTACACTTTTAAATATTTAATGTTCGCAATAGAAAAGTTGAATAAAAATTATAGTATTTCTCACAATATATTTAAAGTTACATAAACTGTTCATATCATAGAGTAATGCCACCAGATATGAGTCGTCCAATGGATAAAAAGAAGAATTCAGAAAAAAAAGGTCAGTTAAATTATAAGAAATTAAAAGAAAAGACGCAAAAAAAATAATTAAAACCTTTATAAAATTAATTCATAAAAATGTTAAAAAAGGATAACAAAACTTGCAAATGTTGTAAATTCATCTATATATGTATATATATGCATATGTGTAATACTTTTTACAAATTTATATAATAATATATAATTTTGTACAACAATATGTATTTGAAAAGGATATAAGGGAAATAATTGAAGAACGTGTTTCGAATTTCAAAATAATCGAATAAATGAAAATAAAACTTAAAATAATAGTTAAAACAAAATAAAAT